ATGATAATAATAACAATAGAAAGCTATGGTGAATAATAATTGCACTTAATCACTTTAAAAACGCCTTTATTCTACAGCATACTTGTGAGAGCAAGAAGAACGCGTACAGTAAGCTGTCTTTACAGACACGCGCCTATGAGCACATAAGCGTATTTTACATAAGCATATATATATATGTCTATACACAACTGATTTATAGATTGCATATGCCCGAAGCATTTAAAAGCTTATTGGTTAGTGTTTTGTATGAGGCAGTTGACTGGTTGTTCATATCAGTAAGCTATCTATCAGTCCATGTTTAGCTGCTAACCATGTATTTCCTTTCGTAGTCAGCTGTTACAGTATCATCCGGTTGACTAATGGTGCTAGAGGCCAACGAACAACGCCTTTCAAGTGCTGTAGCTGATGCAGATGCATGCGCTGATTCGACGAACTTTTCAAGCAATTTCGAGCCTGAGCCGTGCTCTGCGAGTGTTTCATCTATCATCACATCCACAATACTACTTCGTTCTGTTTCTTCACGTATCATCTCCAGATTCCGTGTCGATCCATCAGACCCGTATGCAGCGAATGTTGTCGATGTCTTAAATTGAATTACCATTCCTTTTCTGTTCAACATTATTACATTATTGAACAATATCATTATTGAACATCAATATCATTATTATCACTTTTGTGATCTCATTTCATATTACCAACTCACTTGATCATAACTGATGTCTCAATTGATTTGGTCGCATCAATATCAGTATGAAAGTGAGAATTCGATGTGGTTGTGAGAGTACTCGATTGTGCGGTTTAATCAGGACGGAGCGAATAAATGATTCAATTAATTGCATGTCGATTGAATGAAACATAACGAACCGTTAAGTTTGTTGAAATAGTTTGATAACCGCTATCTTTCGTGCATGGTTCATTCACAGTAGCCGTGGCAGCAGCAGCGCTGTTGTTACCGACGTTTTCATTTTGTGATAGCATCAACGAAACGCCAACCTATATGATGGAATGTTACCAGATTCTTCTTTTTTTCCTAGGTTCGACTATTATTCATTTGCCATTGACATCTCAAATACTGTATAATGAACGAATTCCAAATTCCTATGGATTCAATCATTCAAGTCGTGAATGCGCTTATTGCACTGCGATTCTAATTCACGACTTGTTTGGTTTGATTTTGCCACAGTTATTGTTACCATCATTAGTGATGTACGTGGACATATCTGAGTATGACCGCTCATCAAATGTGATGTGAAAGTGACAAGAAATATGATATGACAAGAAAAAAGATTCGCATATTTTGAGGAGGCTGTTGAAGTTCGACATGTGATGCCTTCTTTGGAAAGAATGCAAAAAATGCACAAAAAATCCACAAATTCATCTTGTTTCTTTTCAGCATTCCAATCAGATGGATGGACAGATAGGTTGTTAGGTTATCCGATCCAAAAATTCATATCTTCTTACTCACCTGAGTGCCCAATCGTTGGCTGAGTATGAGCGCAATATGACGTCGTTCTTTCGCTTTTGCTTTTTCTTCTAAATTTTTTGCAGCCTTATGAATACCCTGAAATAGAATTGGATTGAAACATAATTAAGACTGAAGCCGATTGAATTGTGGTGAAAGGAACTGGTGAGTGAGCAAATGAACGAGCGTTAGAAGATGAAAACTGATTGCTTCACGTTGCATGCTTGCACACTTATCTCTTGCTCCGTCAAATTTATGTATACGCATCAAATTTATGTATACCGACGTTAGCATTCTTGATATGTGCGAAAATGTGGATATTGCAAGTTCAGAGGAATAATAAAATTCAGTTCTAGAGTGTTTATACTGCCAAAAATAGATGAGATATAACAAACGTGACATGTGGAGATAGATAACTGCGTGCAAGTACGTTTGATGATAAGAGTACAAGGATAGGTATATTCATGAAACATTCAGGTAGTATACTATATATTGACAAGAAGTATGACAATAAGTGTAGTGGATTTGTAATGAAGGTTTTAGCTGTCACCTTGTAAAGAATGAGCATTGCAATGAGCGTTGTCCAATAATACACAACGTACATACCCATATTAACGTATGGATTGGAGAGGAATGGTGCGGAACATTCGGTTCCCATCATTCTGGAACAATCAATCGTTGTATTTTGAAGCAGTTCAATTCTTCGTCAGCTCACTTAATCACGGTCTTCAGACCAGATTTCAGAAAGATTACTTGCCCACTTTATTCCCCATTCCTACATAACCTCTTCGTCCATGAACCCGTGTTAATGTCCATTGGGAATGAGACATTTGTATGATGATTTTCAATTAATATCATCTTTAGCTTGATCGTCAAATGGATAATGTTAACGTTGACATGTTTATAATATCCTATCATATCATATTTGACAAGGTAGTTCTATGCTGGAAACTTGGATGTCTTGCTCAATTATTGAATGCACAAATTGGTGCGTTGATGTATTGCTGAAGCTAGTCAAATAGCTGGTTGCTAGCAAAGTGCATCCTTATTAGTATCGTTTTAGTTAATATTATTCATTTGGTAAGTTTTATGTCATCGGTTGTCAAACTTTATGAAAGGAAAGAGCTTCTTATGGGAACTCTGAACTATTACAGCATTATTCTGAGTTGTCTTTGCCTGACTCGAGCATTAATGAATAGTAATAGAGTAGCGATTTGTATGATAAGTATTCAAGCTATGATCTTTCTCTTATGGCTGTTCATTAGATACGTGTTTACCGGCGAAGGCAGTCACGGCGGGAACCATGAAACCGATTCGATGCGGATTAAATTCAGAAGTGAACGAATGGAAAGAAGTGGGATCGATGAATGGATGAAATGACAGCAACAGAATGAAGATTAACAAAATGTTGTGGTGTCTGTTAAAGGTTAGGGAAGGGAGGGTGTAACGGGAGTTAAGTGCAAGCTATAGCGATGAATATAGCAATAGTACAACAATGAGGATATTTCAGTGAAAATTATTGCTGAAAAAGGTGTTATGATTATTTAATAACAAGAAAGCAGATGGTTCTTATAAGGGTTTTTTGTACCTACAAGATAGGATAAATGTTCAGGTTATTTGAGGAACTGCTTGAGTAAATTTGTGAGTGATAACTTAGTAGAATATCGAATACCGGGATGGAGTGGAAAGAAAGAAGAGAAATTTAATGAAATGGAGATAGACAAGAATGATTCACAGAGTGGATAAACATACCCGGACGCACTTCCAGTCATAAGTGGCCATCCGTAAATCATAACGCCAAAAATGAAAGCAGGAATAACCCACGATAGGACGATCATTATTTGTGTTTTTGCAGGTGTTAGCCATTTTATATAGGATGCAGTATGACATACGGATAAATAACGATCTGCAGTTATCAGTAGCACGGTTAGAATTGAGACCAAACAGAGTGTATAGTCAAGAAACAGCCACGTCTCACATGCGACCCAACCTAGTGGCCAACGATCACCTGTAAATTTATGCACGAAATTGAGTTTAATTTAAGACCTTGAACTTAGTCGCTGTAGATGGCTGTGGCCCGGAGATAGCAGAGAGGAAGATGGATGGATCGACTGGTTATTATGATTGGTTCTTATTGGATCAGCGATTAGATCAAGAGGATTTGATGAAAAAACAGCAAACCGTACCATTGAGAACGTAAAGTGTAAACAAGGGATAGCCTTCAACACCGATAATAAGATCAGATACGGCCAATGAGACAATGTATCGATTACTGACCTAAAATTAAAACGAACTGTTTGGAAATGGAAATTAGAACGTAGCTGAGATTTGATATCAGCTACTGAAGCGATACCAGAAAGACATACATTCTCAATTTGAGGTTATGTGGAATGAGATATCTAAATAATATGCATAGTTTTCTTGTTTCACATCAAAGTTGAATGTGAAATTCGCTCTCAATTTTAGAAGACTTGGATTGTGGATTAAGAAAATGGACCATAAATTTTGAATTCAAATAAAGAATGAGCTTAGACTGGAGAAGTTTTACGGAGTTCATGCGACTCTGAATGAATCGTTTGAATGAATTCTAAGGCGCAAAGGGTGTCATCAGCAGTAAGTGTTACAACTGGTAACTGAAATCTATTCTTATGATCGAAAGCTATTCACTGGATTTCATTCATAAGAAGCGAGAATTGCCAACCTGCTTGCTGATCGCTCGTTCAACCTTATACGCGACAATGACCATTGCATTGCCGATAATCGTTTCGAGACTTAGAAATACTATAATAATCCAAACGAAAATCTGAAATATTCCATGACCACCACAATAATTCATCTTAAACTTTGGCCCACTACTTGAAGTTAAACTTCAAAAGGCGGCTGAAGCCAATGTCATCATTTTTTATCATTCGATTCGCCATATACTACAGTCGAATGAAAGTGTGGAGTGAGTAAGGCAGGGAGGAAGGGGGGGAAGGGGTTGATCAAGCCAGAACTGGTTGAAGATGGATTTTGATTGTTTCAAAACTGATAATTCTTCTTAGTCTTCTTGGTCAGCTCCAGCGAGCAGTTATACTCCTTGTTAGGGATTTTGCACATTTTGCTCCATCTCGAAAAAAGATTGCTTGAGAGTGTCTGCACTAAATTTCTCATATTTGCAAAAAGTGCTCTGAACACGAACTGATTTATTTTATTGGTTGGTGTTGCTCATTCAGTCAGTTGAGTTTAAGTTACATAATAATATTTCTTCTTGCAATTTTTCTTTTTTCTCTTTTAACAGCGAGTAGAATCAGTCAACATCATGGCATTATCAAAGGGATTTTCGCTTTCATCACGCTTGCAATCATATCATCGTCATCATCATTCTCTCGTAAAATCATCATCATCAGTAAGCTTTAATCAGCATCTTCTTGACTTTGTTAGATCCTCTTCTCTCCTCATCCGCTTTCATCCTATCCTTTCTGCTTATTCAAAAGAATATCTATCGTTCTTGGCTAGCTGCTTGCAAACTTTTCTAGAATTGATTCAATTTCAACTATGGAATGAAACAAATTTGATTGCAAATGAATTTAAATTGTTGGATTTGAATTTGCTACTTGTTATGCCTCAATTTTACTTGCCTTGTCTTGTTGCGTTTCCCCCTATAAACACCCAATCACGAACGAAGGAGAATAGCGTCTCTTATAGTTCGCGTCATCATCTTCTCTCAATGGAAACTTCTGAACTCTAATGACTACTGCTTGTTGACTGAAATTTTTTTGAAGCAGTAACCGCAGCAGATGTTTTATACGATGAATTGCTGCTATTATGCCATATCTCTATTAAATCGTACTTGCTAGACGATTTCATAATATACTTATGATTTTTCGTTCGTTCATAATGCACTGATGACAGCTAGTTATTTGAAGACTGATATGAAGTTAAGCTATTCTTGATACCCCTGTCAGTTTTTCATTTTTATTCTGCTTCTTTTTTCCTTTTTGCTGCTGCTGTTTCTTCGAATCAAACATCGTCATCGTAATCTTTAAACGAATGAAGAAATTTTCTCTTCATCATGGTCATCAATATCTCGATGATTGAATATTAACGCATCCACCTTTCCATCCATCCATCCTTCTATCTAATTCATGGGCGTCGTTTTAAGATGTGATTATATCACGCTAGTCTCATGTTTATCGTCAAATTGCTTAGTGTTTGAAAGAACGAGAATTATTTATCAGAATTATCATCACCACTAATCCTTATGCATCACCACATAAACACCGTCTCAGCTTTAATGCTCACTAAGTAACATGTATACACCTGCCATAAGTAATAGTGAATTTTAGTCAACTCTAATACTGAATATTGTTTCATTGAAACATTATCTGATCATAATGCTGAGACGATGACTTTCATTTTATTCAGCTTGCGCGTTCATATGCATGAACCTGAGAACAACAAGGTACAACATGTTTTAGTTTGATGAACACTGGATTGTTTGGTAGGTGATGAAGTTAAGAAGAAGAATTACCTGAACGAAGACGTTATACGGTGAATTCCACAATATTCGAAGATGTTGTTCGGCAACGACGGTACTTATATAGGTTTCATTCATGGACCGACTGGCAACTCTAGGTCAGATACAAATTTATTTGAATTATTCAGCAGCAGCAGTAGCGTGGTGATAATCAAGCTCGATTTGATAGCATTTCAAATTGAATGTAATGACAGAATTCAGATCTGATAAGATCCTTGTTATTATTGATTTCGTGCATTGACCCACCAATACTTGTGCCTTAACAGCTTACCTGTAGGCAGCTAAAGCCTAATCGCTGAAATTAGTTGATTGTTAGCAATGGCAGTAAAGGCACATGATGTTTACATTCAACGTTAGTAATAACAACGATGATAATATTAAGACAGTAATGTAATCAGTACTATTGCCTGCATTAGCAGTTGTGATGGGGCAATTAGTGAGAGTAACCAACTACTTATAGTGACAAATGAAGGCAGCTTTGATTTGGTTCGATTCAATTGAAGCGTTTAATTGAGATTTTTGTTGTGTTGCATCATAAGCAAGAAGTGTTTTTGTATAATTAATTTGATGAATATGAACGAATGAAACAACGAACAGCCATTAAGAAGCATTTTTGTAGTCATAATCTGTGACGCAGACAAGGTGCTTATAATAGCTAGAAATAGATGAATGCATGCATTCAAAGAATTAATGGAGCACGTTCGACAGATCGAGAGTATTTGTGAAGCAGCAGCAATAGTAACAATAGAAGAACATTTGTATCCTCTTCGTCATCATCAACAAAACATTGCACAGTATTAGCAATCATCGTCATTCTAGTACGTCGTTCTCAGAAAGAAATCGTTTCGTCTAGATCATATCAGAAGTCTATTACTTCAGCAATCAGAAGCAGATAACGGAAAGTAGACCGCCCATTTCCTTCCTCTTTTTCTTCTTCGTCAATTCTATATTAATTGACTGACAGAATGCTTGGATTGATCAGCATTGTTCTTGCCTTTATCGCTATCTTTATTGCTCTTATCATGTGATGTACCATCATTATTACTATGTGCAGCGACGTCATATAATCGCTATAGTAAGAACGTCGAGCAGCCTAATTAGATGTAATCATTCACCTTTTATCAGTACTTTCGAAAATGCCTAGAAAAACAGTGCTTGAATAATACTTCTAAAACTACCACATTCCTTATTGTGTTGTTACAAATAAGTTGCATGATCTAAACGGAAAAACTTACATGGTACATAAATAAATTGAAATATTTGAACAGCATGAGTACACACTGATCGCAGTACGAGATTCTTGAGTTTTCAATAAATGAACAGAAGAAAGAAGTATTCATAAATTTCTCATGTTGTCCATTACGGACACCGCTCTTTGCACACCCAATAATGCCATATATGCGGTTGATCTTTTTGCTGAATGATATATTTTGTAATAAATATCAGATATGATCAAATATAATAGTGAACGCTTACATAAGGCATAAGTAAACCAATCAACGAACACATAAACTCAATGCAATTAAAGTTAGTTGTTACCAATGACAACGACAGTGAACGAAAGCTTCATAACGAGCGGAGAACGTTTCGAAAAATGTACAGCTTGGTCGTGATTTTACAAAGTTGAAAAAAAAGAATAGAAATAAGAATAATAGCAGTAATAAGGAGGAGGAAAAGAGCATGTAGTAATGAAATGAAAGAAAATGAGAAGGAAGCGTTTGAGGCAATGACATCAAAACATCAAAATTAAATTCTGACTAGACAAAAAATATGACCGACCTATGAATTGTGAATTTATGATGAAATGTTCATCATGGAAGACAGATGGATTGATAGGTAGATATTAATTGAAAGGGTGTGGTTTAATAAGGAGTAGATTTTTTCAGTTGATTAATTACGAAGATGCAGCAGCAGTAATGAAAATTATGATGAAAATGTGACGAAATGGTAGAATGCTGCGCTAGTCATAGATATTTATTATAATTCAAAAATCAGCACTAGCAAAAGTTATGAAATGGTCGGTAACCGCTATTGGTAAACTTAGAAGGAATATTAGCTCATTTTTGAATGCATGAACGTTTCGAGCAATTGACTCTACCAAGACGTTCCATTGCCAAATTTTGGCCTATACCAAAACACCTCATTACTATTTGGAAGAATAAAGGAATCGGTAATGTGGTTGAGCACAAGAGGAGATTATAGTGAAAAATTTGTATGGTGAATGTGTAATTAAACTATTCATCCTGGATTTTATATGTGTATTCACGTATGTCCTAGCGCGCCCCTCATATTTAATCCTACAGGAATGAATTTTCAGTGCAGTCAGTCACTGATAGTGAGACAGTCATCTTTGTGCAAATCCTATGGATATGCAATGATCAATGATCATCGACAAATTTACATATGGTTGAAATATCAACTGCTTTAGCTGCAGTAGCAACGAAAGGTTATCGTATGCGACACTATATATTGAACAAACAAACGAACTATTCGACGGATGTACTTCAAAATTTTTATTTTCATTCAACCTGGCAATAAAGATCATATCTCTCTTCAGCCCTATACAAACTAGCCAACAGCTAGTCGAAACAGTCAATCAATCCATGGAGAATAGGTTATTAAAATTGAATCAGATTATATGCGGCTTCTTTCCGCTATGGTTGTTGTAAAGTTAAACTGATAAGTAGTTATACCTAATAAATTACTCATTACCTATTCCAACATCTCATTGTTGATTATCATGATATACTATCAAAATGATGTAATCAGAGCAACATCGTAAGTATGCACATTTGCAACATTCAACATTAGTGCTGACCGAATATCATTAAAGAAACTCGCATAACAATACGTTTAGAATTAATTAGAAGACCTAAGCAACAAAAAAGATTTTTGAATGATATTGACATATTCTAAAACACTATTTCATCCATCGCTATTATAATTACAACGTGAATGAATTCCATTTGAACATCAAACACTAACATGAATGAATACAATAGATTGTTCGGCGGTCAACCAAAAATTTTCTTAAGTAAATGATTTATCTCCATGCATTATTTTATTCCTCACTTAACTCCGTCAGTTAATGTTTGTTCATTAATTCTTCAGCCACCCATAACAAAATCTCGTCCATAAACATCATCCAGTCAGAATTTTTTTGCTTTTGCTTCTTCATGCTACTTCTACTTGGTAATGTTCCTCTTGAGGTCGTTAATTTTCATTTTAGCCTCGTCTTTGCCCAAAATCTATAGCTCTTCCTTTTCGCTCTAATCCTCCTCCTTTGTTTGCGATCAATCAGCCAATAATAATAATTC